TAGAAAGCAAATGTTTTGAGAATGATGATGGCAACAAATGTGCTTGACACAATAGATGTATGTATGGATTGTGAGAAGAGTTGTATGAGCCCCCAGTAAAGTGATTTAAAAAAAAACCTTTTCAAGCTTTAGTCTATGCTGATAAACATAGATGTCAACAGTATTTCTTCATGCTATACTTGGATGTTTTGTTTTCCCTCCAGTGAAATGTATGGGAATTTTTCTATATAATTTCATACAGTTGCCTGCTACTCTTACAGATAATTCCATTGCTATATTTTGCCATTCTTCTGTGTATGGAATTTGAGTCATCTCAAAATTTTCATAATGACAACGATACAATGAATATGTTCCAAATTCTTGGTTGTGTGTGCAAATTGTTGCTGTGTTAGAGATTCTAGCAGTAGAATTAGTTGTTCAGGCAGTCTGATAGGTGCCTGTTAATGTTGTTTTTAATGGAGAATTTCAAGCACAGTTAAAAGCAGGCACTCCCACACTGGACTCCTCTTCAGTAATTATCATCGCATGGTCAGTCTTGTCCCTCCATCCTCCCACCCACTCCCTGAACACTGAATTTTGCCCAACAGTGAATTTATTAGGAAGCAAAATCATCTCATCCATAGATAGGCCAGTGGTTGTTAAACATACTTTAAAAAGAATTACAATGAGGTTGATATTATCTTGCCTAAAAATGAGCACTCATCCCTCAGTGTTGGTGTTCGATTTTCCCAGTTGTCTGTCTGCTTTCTGTTTGAATGACAACCCAGACAAGATATCTAGGTTTTCCTATCTCGTTTTTTCATTTTCCATATAACTGATTGAAGAAGCTTTTGGCCTTTGGAATGTCCAGCGTTCTGGATTTTGCTCATCATATTCCTATGATGCGATTTTACAAGTTCCCTGTCCCTTCGTCCCTCTTCTATGCTGGTAGTTATATTTACGTCATCAAGTGGATTCCCACTCACAGGATCTCTGTAGGACTTCTGAGACGGTAAATCTTTATGGGAATCGACAACCTCCTCTTTCTCCTGAGAACTGGCTGGTGTGTTTGAACCACTGACCTTGCCAGGGCATTGCCGATCAGGGAAATGCTGAGCTGCATCCCAGCGTTCATCCTGACTTTCTGCAGTTGGGCCCCCGAGGAGAGTCAGAAAACTGCATTGGGCCTTTTGACTTGGGTTCCTAGAAATAACTCTAGCAATGAAGGTATTTTTTTGGTTTTCTAAAACATCCAGACATCAGGCGCGCCCCCCCCCCTCCCCCTGACATGACCAAAGGAAGGGAGAAAAGCCTGTTCATCCTCACTCCTCAGGAGCATCCTGGCTGTAGTTCCTTGAAGACAATTCGGTCATCCTTCAGACAGTCCGTGGTATAGTCCGTGTTCTTTGCCATAGTCCTCATGTGTCACCCTAGCCCAGCCCAGCTTTGGCATGCATACCAGGCTCTTCCAGACTCCCAGATTTCTTTTTTGACCTGGAAAAGAATTTGCTTATGCTTTTCAGTCTGGGTCTCATTTTAAACAGGAAGGGTCAAGTGTAAGGATTGATGGTCCTTACTGACGTGGCCCTCCAGCAGCAGCAGCCACCTTTACACCCGAAACCAAACTCCCACTTAGAGTGTGTTGCCTTGCTCAAACGGGGTCCCTTCTGCCCAGTGTGTCATGACTGCAACCCTGCTGATGTTGGTGGCCTGTGCCTTGCAGGAGGAATAGTGGGGGTGACCGGGAGAAGGCCCTTCAGGTCATGCTCCAGGTGCTGCAGAGCTGTGACCACCCAGCCCCGGACATGTTCTGCCTGTGCGGGAGGATCTACAAGGACATCTTTCTGGATTCTGACTGTACGGACGACTCCAGCCGAGACAGCGCCATTGCGTGGTAAGCCCTCGGCCTTCAGCCGCATGTGGTCTCTGCAAGGGACAGTGTGTCAGATAAGCTCAGGGGCCAGATCTTGTCCCTATGGATGAGCATCTGCCTATCTGTCAACAAGTGAAAACAAAATAGTAAAGATGGCATTGAGGTTCCCAGAATCCCTTTCAGAGAGGGTATTTTCTGGACGGCGATCTTTTCTCACAGGGCAACTCGGGGATGGGGTCAGAGGAAGACTCGGCACACTTCTTCCCAGCTGCCCCTTGCAGATCCTTGTGTAGTAGCTTCTACTCCTGCTATTGATCTGTTGATTTATTCAGGAGATATTTATTGAGCGTCTACTCATGCTAGGAAGTTTTTGCCATGTTAGGGGCACAGCAGAGAATTTGACCCATGTTTTAAGTGCTCAATTGCTAACCTGAAAGTTTGGTGGGTCGAGCCCTCCGGGTGGCATTGTGGGAGAACACCCAGGGCATTCTGCTCCTGTAAAGACGACCGCTTTGGGAACCCGCTGGCCTGACTCCGACTCCTGGGCCTTGTGTTGCTGGTAAGGGCAGTCGGACAGAGAAAACATTTAGGCTGTCAACTAGCGGGGAGGGCTGTGGGGCAAAGGAAGACTGTGGGAGTTGGGGATGAGCGGGGAAAGAAGGGGGGGCTTGCAATTTAAAATGACGAGGTCGGTAGACGTGAAGAAATGTGAAGGAGGTGAAAAAGCACGGCAGGAGAGAGTGAAAAAAGAACAGAGCCCCTGAGGAAGAAGCGGGTGGGGGTGGGGACACTGGCGAGGGAGGAGGAAGGGCAGCAGGAGCGAACAACGGACAGAATACCAAGGAATGAGAAGCGAGAAGGCCCGTGAAGAACCTGTCGGGGCCAAAAGGGTTTTAGGTTGGACGATTGAGTGCAGTGAGTTGAGCTTTGGAGGGTGCTGAGCTGAGCTGTGACTAGACGGGACGGGCTGTTCTCACTGCTGCGCAAAGAATGAACTGGTGGGGGTATAATTGTTGTGCTGTGCAACAGACAGCCCCCAGATCTCGACCGTGACTTCGCCCACTCCAAACTCACTGCCATCGAGTCGACGCTGACGCATAGTGACCCCATAGGACAGGGTAAGACTGTTGCTGTGACTTTCTGAGACCTTTTCTTTAATTTTATTTTTTAATCATTTTATTGGGGGCTCTTACAGCTCTTCTCACAATCCATCCATCCATCTGTGTCAAGCACATTTGTACATTGGTTGCCATCAGCCTTTGCAACACATTTTCTTTCTACTTGAGCCCTTGGGATCAGCTCCTCAGTTTTTCCCTCCCTCACCCTCATGAACCCTTGATAAATGATCCGTTATTATTATCATATCTCACACCGTCCGCCATCTTCCTTCACCCATGTTTCTGACGAACAAGAGACTGTAACTCTTAATAGGAGTAGCAAGTCGTCTTTCTCCCATGGAGCGTCTGGTGTGGCCCACCATGTAACTACTATGTCTCCAGAGCTCCTCCTAGTGGGTTAAGCAATGGTTTTTCCTCCATCGTTCTGTCGGTTGACCAGGCAAGTCCTCTTCTGGCTTTGCCTGGGCTCCTGAAGGTGAAGTCAACTTGAAGTGTCCGCAGCATGGAAGTCCCTAGAAGGGTGCATGACCCACCCCTACCTGTGGGTCAGCTGACCAAGGGCTCTCACTGGTGGGTGGTATGCTTAGTTCTCCACCATGGGGCCTCTCACCAGCTAGACCAGCTTCCCATCGGGGCGGGCTGTATTGGAAATGCAGCAAAGGTGGAAAGCACAGGCTTTGGCTTACGAAAACTCACACGATGTCACCTCTGCCGCGGGCTCCGGGTTATAGGCGACTTCAGACTAACCGAGACTCAGACAGTGGGCAAAATGGACTCTATCTCTGGTGGGAGGGGGGACAGAATCGTATTTCAGCACCCCTGCTGGGATGGGAGGATTTGGTAGCCATTAAAGGGTTTGCCCTGGGGGCAGGGATGGAATTGGGAAACAGATGGGTGCTGTTGCAGTAATTGTGGGGAGACAGGGTGGTGGTCATGAGAAGTTGGAATCTTGCTGTATTTTGGAGATGAAACCAACAGCTCCCATTGTTGGAAGAGTGCTTGTGCTGGTGCCTCAATTCGGTTTAATTCTGGTGATCCTAGCTACTCCACAACTTGGGAACCTGAGCCTGTGACCCCCACATTGTCCAGTGCCATTTAGAGGCATGCATATGCAGCATTACTTCAGTGATTGAAATGTGTTCCTGGTTGTACTGCTCATATTTTCTCAGGGAAGAGAAGAACACTTTTTACATGCAGCTAGTCCCTGACATGTGTCAATTCAAGTTGCGATGAATTGCACTTTGCAATTGGCTGGCTTGGTTTTGGTTTCATTTCATCAGTAACACGTGTACGTACCATGAGATGTTGCATCCCGTACTATGCTAATATTATTCTCAGATATTCACTTGCAGATATTTAAAGATTGGATTTCCAAAGGTACTGTGGGGTCCTCTCTGGGTTTGAATGCAGCAGCAGGTGGCCAGGTGGCTCATAGAAGGAGCAGCCGTGAGGTTGTGGGTGTATGGGACATGGGCAGCAACTCCAGCTGACCATCTTGCCAGCCCACCTCCAATGATGCCTCTAGCCCAGCTGCTGGGCACAGATCCACTAGTGTGCCAGCCTAGATGCCAGGGCCTTTGGGTTTGGAGCACAGCTGTGCCCGAGGCAGAGAAAGTCCTGGGGTCCCATCTTTGGGAGAGCCTTCATTTCCTCTGCTCGTGGTCTTTGAGACCTCCCCTCCTCTGAATGGGAAGAATGGATGTGGTAGAAATTTTCCTGCTTGTGGTTTGCACCATTATGTCCACTTTGTTTGTTACAATGTAATATGGCAAAATAAGAATGCGGTGGCTCTTTAATTACAGGTATCGCAAAGGATTTGAGCTACAGTCATCTCTCTATTCAGGAATCAACCTCGCAATTTTGCTGCTAGTTGCTGGGCAACAATTTGAAACATCCATGGAACTAAGGAAAATAGGTAAAGCTATGAGTGGTGAGTCCCCGGGTGCTGTCAGCAGTTATGTAGCTGGTCGCTGACCAAAAGGTTGGAGGTGTTTGAAAATCTACCCAAAGGCACTTAGGAAGTAAGGCCTGGCGATCCCCTTGCCTAAGATTAGCCATTGCAAAGCTTATGGAACACAGTTGTACTTTAACACACGTGAGCCTGACCATTCGATGGCAACTGGTATTGTTTGATCCATTGCAGATGTTGCTGCTTTGATCACATGAGTTCAGCATTTAGAAAAGAAAAAAAAGGTTTAAATAACTGGCATTCTATTTCTAAAGAAACGTTTACTTTTTTAGCCAAGACAGTCACCAAAGTAGAAGACCTGCTTTTCTTATATGTGAAGGCCAGCATCATCACAGTCAAAGCCTGCACGCTTTTTTCTAACTTCTCTAACATTCACATTATTTAAGGTGTCCGGCTGAACAGCTTGTTGGGAAGAAAGGGGAGCTTGGAGAAAATGAGCAATTACTGGGATGTGGGGCAGTTCTTCATCGTGAGCATGTTGGCCAGTGATGCCGGGAAGGCTGTCCAGGCAGCAGAGAAATTGTTCAAACTGAAGCCTCCTGTCTGGTGAGTCTCGTTGGCATGTTGCCATCCGTCTCAGTAGCTACAGATGCGCTGAAATGTTCACCTGCAAGAAAGCGCAAATCTGAAACCCATAGACGATTGTTGTTTTCCCTTCTGATCTCTTCGTTAAAGCAAACTTAGGCTGACATAACGCCTCTGACAAGAGGCGTATTAGGTTGGGTTCTCAAGAGAAGGAAAACCAGCGGCATTTATATATGTAAGTACACAAAGAACTTGATATCAAGAAAATGGCTTGCAACATAGTAGAAGCAGATAAGTCCCGTCGAGTTTCAAGTCCATGGGGTGTATGTGAAGTTAGAGGCATCTCCTGATGAACCCGGCATTGGCAGGAACACCACAGACTGCATGCAGAGGTGGGTGAATCCAGTGGTGGCAGGCAACATGGCAGGCCGTTGGCTTCAATTCCAGAAAACTGGAGGTCCAGGAGTCAGTTGTAGGATCCAATCTTAGTAAAAAAGCAAGCAAGCTTTTCCCAAGGACAATGTCTGTAGGAAGTAGGCCACACTCCCAAGGAACCTCCCTTTCAGTTGTATCAGGGCTGTGATCTGAATTAAGAGGGGTGCCTTCTTCCCTAATCTGCCACAACAGATCCCATCTTGAAATTGATTCCATGTTAACAGGGAACATCATAGGGGATTCCTAGGCCTCAACTGCCAAACCGCTGAGAATCCTGGTCCAGCCAAGTTGTCACATATCTCAACTGTCACAGGAGGGAAAGATGCTCGCATGCTCCTCACTCGCTCTCTTGCTCTCTCGCCCACAAACACATTGTGTACCCCTGTATACATTATCCCTGAGATACTGGGATCTCCATCCTTATTAACTTCTCTAGGTCATCTAGGTACCCAAGAACAAAGCAATCTTCAGTATATCTGTTCTTTGTCAATGAGGCAGCCTTTAACATATGTCACTCATAAGGTTTTCATAACCTGATTTTGGAAACTGCTCACCAGGCCCTTTTTCTGCTTCCACCTGAGTCTGGAAGCTCTGCTGATACCTGGTCAACATCATAGCTGCAGGCACTCTTCCAGAACAGATGGTGGTCACTGCTTTCAAGGTGCATTAGCTGGGTATCAAACCCAGGTCTCTCACACTGAAGATGAGAATCTCCCACTTGAGCCACTGTTCCCTTCCGCTCTCTGGCACTAGAACACAGTGTAATTAGTGGAGAAAGTAGAGAGTAAAACTAAGAAGCCTACCCATAGGGAGCTATGGGACGGGGCCCGGGAATTGCCCTTTGATAACCTTACTCTCATTCCTCTGAAGTGGTGCAGGCCATTCTTTCTCCAGCGTCTGTTCTCAGTCTGGAAACCCTGCTGAAACCTGTTCACTTTGGGTGACCCTGCCAATATTTGAAATGACCAATGCCCTGGCTTCCAGCATGACAACACAAGCCACCAGTCCCTGAGAAGGACACTACGCTTGGTAAACAGAGGGGCAGTCAAAAGGACAAGGACCCTCCACAAGATGGTGGCTGCAACAGTGGGCTCCAACAGGAACAATTTTGAGGAGAGCACATGCCGGGGCGGTGGCTTGTCTTGTGGGGCAGTGTCAGAACCGACTTCTGATGCCTGACAGCAACAGCCTCCACCACCACAGCTCTCGGCTCGCGGGAGACCAAACTTGGCGTGAATCAAAACTGTTTGGCAGGTGATTCCCAAGGCTAGATCTGGGAGATTTGGGGCAATATCATACTCCCCAATCAACAACTAGGACCCTGGGTATTGTTTTCGGAGACAGGCATGGACAAAAAGATTTGAAAGTCAAAGTTGCTTTAAGGCATTTACTGAAAAATAGAGACCTGTAAGAGAGACAGAGGAGAGAGTCGCCATAGGCAGCAGGGTCTCCTGGGCCTTACAAAAGAAGCACTTTTCAGAGGGCTGTTATCTTAGTCAAGAATCGGTATGTTTTTCTTAGGGCAAGGTTTCTGGTTGGGGCGGTCTGTGTTGTCCTATGGTTTTTATGAGCTCTTTCCTGGCCCCCCTTCTCGGGGTGCGGGCAAGGGTTGGGCCAAGTTGGAGTGTGAACATTCTAAATGGACTCCAAGGCCCTCTCAGATACTCCGCGTTAGTAGATGAGCATGTGCACAGCTCCTTTATCCTTCATTCAGATCCTGGGTTGGTCCTGGACCCACTATTTTAGGTCATTTCGGGGTCACCCGTGGCCTTGCTGTGCATGCGCAGGCCTCTTAAAGCCGTGGGACCCAGTCTTGGAGGAGGAGGAAGTGTGTGATCTGAAAACAAGTGAGCATAGACGACAGGTCTCCGGAGTTGTTTCCCAGCATCGCACTGTCTGTGTCTGTTATACCTCCCTCACGCCCACCCCCAGACAACCTGTGATTTCTCCATCAATGGTCTCTGCTGCTTTGGTTGATTTAATTTTGTAGCCATTATTTCCTCTATTGCAAGCTATCTTCAGTATGTTACTATTGTTCATAAGTCTAGAGGACATTAACCTTGTCCCCAAACCATATCAACCTCTGCAATGTTCTATGAGACCGAGGGGACACAAGAGCCTGGCCGAGCCCCAGCTTTCCTCCATGTGGGCCCGATGGAGCAGATTCCAAAAAGAAGATGCCATACTTTGGGCCCCTGGCTTCCTGACTGCTAGGGTGGTCCTCAGTAAGGCCTGGTGGCAGCAGTCTTGGCCTCCAGAGGGTGTGACCACCCTACCTTTGCCGCTGCCCCGCCCCCGGTCTGACAACAAGATTAGAAAGAGTTAGGTTACATATGGCCAGATCCAAATTTTGAACATCAAAATCAACCTGGTCAAATCTCAGTTTGTTTTTTGACTATTTAGGAAAATGACAGTGAGTTTTAGATCAGTGTTTACCCCAGGGGTCAAAGTGGGGTGTATGGCTTTAAAAGGGGTCCTTGATGATGGAATAGGCAAACTCAACTTGATTCTGACTCTTGACAATGCTGAAGGACAGAGTAGAACTTGCCCCTGTGGGTTTCCAAGACTCTTAACTCTTTACAGCAGTGGTTCTCAACCTTCCTAATGCTGCGACCCTTTAATACAGTTCCTCATGTTGTGGTGACCGCCCCCCCCAACCATAAAATTATTTTCGTTGCCACTTTATCACTGTCATTTTGCTACTGTGACGAATCGGGCAACCCCTGTGCAAGGGTCATTCGACCCCTAGGTTGAGAACCGCTGCTTTATGGGAGTAGAAAGCTTCATCTTGCTCCCTCAGAGTGACTTGTATTTCAAACAGCTGATCTTGTAGGTTAGCAGTCCATAGCCCACCACATCACCAGGGTTCCCTACCGGGTCACTGAGTCAGAATTGATTTGTAATTTGGGGTTTGGGGGTGGAATGTTGGGCCTCTTGTCCGTCTCTGTGCTAGTATCCCTGTTGACACAGATGGTACTGTAACTTTGCAAGGTGGCCTCACCGGGGTGAGGGGTGGAGGCGCTGGGGAAAGGGCACATGGCAGAGCTCATTCTGCTTCCTCTTAGAACTGCATGAGGATCTATTATTTCAAAAGCTAATGAACCGAGATAATGAGCTTGAAATCACATCCCTGTGCAATTGCTTTGAATTTTAAATGACTTGCTCTTTTCAGTAGTGCTCCAATCCCCCGAGTGTGGATAGTGGGTGCCCGAATTGAAGTTTCACCCACTGTTGGTTAAAAAGCCATGCAAGCCGAGGGATTGTGTTATGGTGTCTTACTATACCTTTTGTTCTGGGGTTTCTGTTCCTGAATTGGGTCACAACAGACTCGTTATATAATATGAATACAGGAGATCTGTGAACAGGCAGGACACTTGTCAGAGAATGGACCCTCAATTGTTTTCCCCACTCACTCATGGCTATCAAATCTTTTCCAACTCATAGCAACCCTATAGGACAGGGTAGAACCGCTCCGGTGAGTTTCCAAGACTGTCACTCTTTAAGGGAGTAGAAAGCTGCATCTAGCTCATAAGGAGTGAATGGTGGTTTCGAGCTGCTGACCTCACAGCAGCCCAACATGTACCCACTGTGCCACCAGGGCTTCTAGAACTAGTGAGAAATGGTAGGATGGCACCCTGTCAAGGAGAGAAAACTTGCAAGACCCAAAAATCCCAGCCCTGCCCCCATTGAGTTCCGGCTCTCACAGGTTTTACTGCACAAATAAATACAAGCGTTTGGGGAGTTTGTTTTAACGGGAGTACAAGTGCATTTCATTTCCATAGGAATCGAATTTGTCGGTGTTTGTGTTGTCCACCCCACCCCACCCCAGGTACCTGCGATCCTTAGTTCAGAACTTCTTATTAATTCAGCGCTTCAAGAAAGCCATTGCTGAACATTCACCGAGGCAAGAACGGCTTAACTTCTGGCTAGACATCATTTTTGAGGCAACCAATGAAGTTACCAGTGGACTCCGATTTCCAGTAAGACATGCTCAATTCATTCCTTTGCGATACAAGTAGAAACTTTGGTGTCTGAGTGTGGCACCCACCAACTGATGACTCCCTTGTGCGCGCTGAAAGGAGCCCTCAGGTTCATGTCAGCAGGAAGGGTTGGCAACCCTCCTCTGCAAAAGCATCCCTTGACAACCCTGGGGGCACAGTTCTAGGCGACGGACTTTGGGGGTGCCATGAGTCAAAATTCAATGTGACAGCAACTGGTTTGAATGATGGAATCCTCTGAAAGGAGGACATCGTTGAAGGAAATTAACATGTGAGGTGAACCATTGGCCTCGTGGTGGCTCGAGAAGTGCTACATCAACTGTAGCTTCTGCAATGGGACTTCTTCGCTGGGGTGACGTGGCTTCTCCAAAGATAATTGGCAGGATCTGGAGACCTTTGGGGTGCTCACAACTGGGAGGGTGGATGCTCTTGGCATCTAGTGGGTTAGAGACCAGGGATGCTGGTAAACATCCCACATGTACCGCAGGAAGCTGAGACTCAATCCTGCCACCACTGTGTCAATTCTGACTCATAGCAACCCTATAGGACAATAGAACTGCCCCATGGGGTTTCCAAGAAGTCGTCTTTTTCAGACTAGCCCTGGTGTTGCAGTGGTTGCTAACCTAGAAAAGTTGCCCTTACTGTAAACCCACCAGTTGCTCCATGCAAGAAAGCTGTGGGAGTCGCTTTTGTGACGGTTATATAGCCCTTCCACTCCTATGGGGCAGTTCTGCTTTGTCCTAAAGGGTCTCCAAGACTCAGGCTTGATGTCAAAAACGGACATTTTTGTGTGCTTAATTTTTGTGTGGAAGTAGACTACCATCTCCCCCCGACCATACCCCCATGGGCCAGTGGGTAGGCTCAAACCATCAACCTTTCCATTAGTATCTGAGTTCCTAACTATGGGGCCATCAGAACTCCTAAGGTACTGGACCAACCCCACCGCCATCAAGTGAATTGTGACACAGCGACCCTATAGGAGAGTGTCAGGGTTCTGAGTCTGTAAACTGTTCTCTCTTGGAGGAGCAGCTGGTGGATTCGAATGACTGATCTTTTGCAACTGATAGCCTAGTGGCCAGCCCACAGCACCGGCCGCATTCTTACACACACAACCGAACTCCCGTGATGAGGATTTACCCAAACGGTCAGTAAGGCCAAAGTGAAGCAACTCTGCCCCGACAGTGACAATTGGGTGCTTCGGGGCTCTTTCCATTTGAAAGCTGTTCCTGGTTTAGCTGTGGTTGCCTCCTTGTTACTACTGAGCTGCAAAAAGCCAGGCTGTTTTCCGCGTTTCCTTGAGGTGTTTTTTTTTTCTTTCTTTCTTGAACATTGTGCCCATCCGGTGAGCTATCTCAGGGGCTCGATACTGAACTTCAGAGTTGTGCCTCATTCTTGCCCCGAGAGACAGGCCGTGTCGAAGAATTTCATTAAGCCCTCCCATCAGAATGGAGCGGTTTGAAAGGACTGGGATGATGCTTCTGTTCCTGAGTCATATGTTTTTAAATCATCATTTCATTATTAAATATTTCAAAGCTACCTGAAAGTACAAAAACAAACAGAAAAAAAAAAAGAGGAGACTGACGTAATCTACCTGGGTTGAGCACATTTAACATCTGGCTTTGTTTGCTTTGAGTACAATCTCTTTCGGCCTCCTCTCCCACCCGCCCCCTGCCCCCCTTCTCTCTCTCTCTCAATAGAGTCAAACATTACTGATGAAATGCCATTTAACTCATCCTCTAGGCATTTCTAGCCAACACTCCTGGCCACTCTCTCATCAGAAGTGGAGCCGGCCTCTTCCTTCTTGTCAGAGGGCCGGCTTGGCCATCCTGTTGACAGCAGCTCCCCCGCTCTGCTCGTAGGGCAGCTCTCTAGGATCTTAGGTCATTTCTCCTATCGGCCTGGGTGGCGCCCTTGGTTGCTAAGCAGGAGATCGGTGGTTGGCGTCTCCCTGGAGTTGCTACAGAAGAAAGACCTAGAAATAGACTTCTGAAAACTTAGCCACCCCCAATCCTGTGGTGCCCGGTTCTCCTCCTCTTCATGGGGTCAGCACGCGTCAGCTCCATAGCAACTGATTGCGTGCGGTTAGCCTGTCTGCCCCATTTGATGTGCTCTGCTGCTGGAGTAGGGCGGGCACATAGTAGGTCCCAGATGAGTATTCGTGGCGGGCAAATCTTCCCACCTTCCCACTGGGCTGGGAGCCCATGTTACAGAAATGCGTTCTTCTTTTAGGTTCTGGTGATAGAGCCAACCAAAGTCTACCAGCCTTCTTATGTCTCCATAAACAACGAAGCGGAGGAGAGGACGGTGTCCTTGTGGCATGTCTCACCCACGGAAATGGTGAGGGGAGTAACCGAGCAGGAGGGTCTGCGTTCCTATTTGAAAGAGCGGGCACCCTTGTCCAACCTCGGAATTCCGGGCCTATCTGAGATGGTCGGGTCACTAACGGAAGGACATAGCAGATGACAATGAGTGTCTCGGTATAAACTGTGTTGCAGGCACATAGGGTGTGTGTGTGTGTGTGTGTGTGTGTGTGTGTGCGCGCGCGCGTGCGTAAACTACTGTATACGGCCTCATACATACTAGGGGACTTGAGAAAGCGAGAGGGAAAACTCCATTATCTTTGCACATCATTTTTCCTCAAATATTTTGAAGCTCCCCCCCTCCCTCATTTATTTCCTCTGTGTATACCATCATACCACCATGAGTCAGAATCGACTTGATGATAAAGAGTTTGCTTTTTTGGTGTTTGGTGACACTGGTTTGTGCCTATGTATTAAATCCATGCCTATTTTCTCACCTATGAACCCACTACGACTGATAAACAGTCTTTTTAAAAGGTAAGCCGTGAGGAAATAGAGACGGGATAAAGGACAAACAAGCCCCCTCCTGTCCCGAATGACACGGGGGAGATCATCCATGCATACATACATATACAATGTGTGCGTGAGCGGTGTGACCTGTGAGGCATTTTCTGGAAAGAACATGCTGTGCATGTTTATTTGGTAACTTCTTGTTCTGAACTCCTACACACGGCACGGACACAGCTCTCCACGCGCACACAGCGATCCACCTGACTATTCATGTGCCAGTCCCTGCCTGCCTCCTCTGGAATAGCTCCTGGCACGGATGTGCTCTAAGTTCTTCTACCATCTTCCTGCGGATGTACGTTTAGGGCTCCCTTCTGTACTGTAGCCGTGCGCATCTGGGTCCTCCTGGCCTGATCCTTCTACCCTCGGGAAAGGGATTCCAGGCTCCTAGAGTCCCAGACATGGACCCGTTGGCTGAAAGGGGGCCAGTTGCGTTGGAGGTGGATGCTGACCCATGGGGACCCCAGGGGTGTGGGTCGAACAGTGCCTCACAGGCTTTTCAGTGGCTGCATTTTACAAAGTCGATCAACCAGCCCTTGTTTTCCAAGGCCCTTCCTAGGGGCTCGAACCTCCAACCCTTTGGTTAGCATAGCATCTGTGTGCATTAAATGTGATCATCATACCACCCAGGGACTCCCACATTCAAGGTCAAAGAAGAGCAAAAACAAAAAACAAAACATGATTTAAATCCCTCGAGGGCGCCCAAGCTTCCATTGGTCCCATAGATGGAAGAGCACAGATTTTTTGGGGGGGGGTGGGGTGGGGGATTGAAAAGATGGGAACACTACTTTGAGAAGTTTGTAGACCCAGATGGAGGGCATACTGAGAAATAACCGCTTTGCTTTTTGAGCTTTTTGTTTAATACGGGTTTCTGTAAATTTCCCCCCCAAAAATTGAAACAATCCTTTTTGACTTCCCTTTGTAAGCAACAGAGGCTAATTTTTTTCATCGATGGACTGCTTTGCTTAGAGTTGTCCATGAAAATGTCTTTGAGAAACATAGAAGTTCCCGATTTTGGGGGTGGGGGGTGGGGTTTTTTTGTCCTTTGAGAGAAGTTTTTGCAGAGTAGAGCAGTTTCTGATTGAGCAATTCATATATATTTTGTTTTGTCATTGATTGAAATCCCCCCAAGGTAGCCTCGCACATCCCACTGTCTCCCCCCAGCTTTCCGGTTTCCATCCTGCCTCCTTCCCTAACTCTTCCGAACTCTGTCCTCGGGTGAAATGCTGCCTTGGCAATTGTGTGTGGTGGATTATTCGAAGGCACGCTTGCCTCCCTTCCTGTTACTGTTCCCCTCAGAAACCCGTCTGTTGTTTGCCTGAAGACTGAGCCCTGGCGGGTGAGTTCGTCTGTACACCTGAAGTGTACCTGCATACATAGTCTTGGTGGTTCCCCCGGTCAAGGTGACCAGTCAGCCTGGTCTTTTTTTTTTCTGAGAGATTTTTTAATTTTATGACAGATTGGGAATTTTGTTCCACATTTTCTCTCTCTCTGTCTCTCTCTCTCTGTCTCTCTGTCTCTCTGTCTCGCTGACAGTTGAATGTGATCCGTTTCAGAGCAATTGATAGTGGGTGCCAGGTACCCCCTAATTCGAGTCTCCGGGCCCAGGAGACTGAGGCTCTTGAGCAGCGTTCATTGGACTAATCATTTCTATATGGCTTTTGATTTTCACTCTTTCCCCGAAGAGGAAATTATACCTCAGATACGTAATGTCATAGGTTCTTCACCAGAAGCAGTGTGTTCCCAGGGTAGGGGCGGGGGTTGCTTTGTAATAGGTAGGCATTTGTTTAAAAACATTTGGTTCTGTGGTACCTAAGGTCACCATGAATCAGAACCAAGTCCATGACCACTGCTGCTCATGTTGATAGAAAACCAAAGACCTCAGGCACTTAGCATTTCTAATTCAAATTCAGCTCCTTATCTCAAAATTAGAGAATTTCCTCTTAATTGGATTAAAATTACAAATGAGGCTTTATGATTCATGGGCTGATTTTCTGTGCTCCCCGGTATCCAAATATATTACTCTAACCCTTACTTCCTTGTTGAAAGTAAAATAGCAGAAGCGCTTGACCTCAGAATGAGATAAAAAATGATTCCTGCCTTCACTTTGCTTTGAAAAAAAAAGTCTATTAACTCCTGCCTTTGATTCCTACAGAAGCAAATCCATGAGTGGAATTTTACAGTCTCTTCCATTAGGGCAATAAGGTAAGAACCGGTGAGTGCTTTCATACAAATAAAGATGTTGTGTGGGGCTTTTAAATGCTCCCACTTACCTATAATGAATCATGTTTTCGGGTTTTTTTCTATTTTTTTTTTTATTTAATGGAATCAAAAATGGTCTCTTTCCTGTTTTTGTTTTTGTTTTTGGCCATGCCCGAGGTTTCCTGGCTCTTTGGGAACGTAGCTTTTCTCGTATCCAGTGTACAAAACTCTTGTCTTGAAAACAAGGTCAGATCTGAAGAATAAAACATGTCGTCTTTGAGCCAGTCATGCTCATCCACTTAGAGACTCTCAACTGAAGTCCGGAGGGTTTTTTTTGGCAACTCCTGGGAATGGGATCTCTCGTAGGCAGGCTAATGGAACCAAGAGTTTATGCTCGTTGGAAAGCAGGGCTGACTTCTCAACTGTGCCCGTCACTGGGCCAGCACATCAAGGCTGAGGATGACAGCAGCTCTGAGGTAGATAGGAGTTCTACCTCCACTTCTGCTGGGTGGCCTTGGGGGAAAACCGCACAACCAGACCTCAGCTTCTTGATCCATCAAATCAAAGGCTAGAACTTTGGTTCTTCCTCTCGTTCTGAGATTCTATCATAAGCCATTGAAGTGTTGTGTGAATCCTTAATTCTTTCAGATGTAGCCTCAACCTGTCTTGAATGCTTGAAGCAGAATAATGTTGAGGCCGTTTAAGATTAGAGTGATGCATTTGATTCATACCATCCAGAAATGGCAGCGTTATTAATAAAGAACCGGGAGTTTTCAAAAATATAGTGCACGGGAACTAGGTTGCACGGGAACATGTGGTCTAGAACCTTCCGTTTGTACCTTGTCATCTTTAGTAGGCTTGAGAAACAAAGCAGCATCTCTGGCTGTCATGCCAACCGTCAGTGGGGAATGTGCCAAGGCCCTGGGGTGACTTGGAGTCAGGACAGCTGAGATGCAGAGCAGGGGTTGAGCATTCCCAATGTTGAACCGCTGCTGGTGGTTAGTTCCTTTAAACTTTGGTTTTGAGGACTTGCTCACGAACAGCCTTGTTTTAATTCTTTTTAAATCACCTTGTAGTATTGCTGTCTTACCTCCTTGATTGTCCTGTAATCTCTCTAGCATAGTAAGGAATGGTCAAAGAAGCTATAGATGTCAGAAAGAGAAGATGGTAGAAGGCATGTGATAAAGTGACTTTCTTTGCTCGAAGGGCTAATTGCAGAGACTTGGGCTCAGGGTGAGAAAGAATGATCTAACATCGATATGCCTCCGTGGGTGCAGTGTGGTCCCTGGATTCTCCTGCACTATGCTCAGACAGATTTGACTGTTGGACCTTGGGTAGGGATGGACTCAGATAGCTCTTTCTTGAGTGAGATGCAATTTTTATTTCTCCTTCCTTCATCTGGGCAAAAGAACTGCCTTCAGATATTGCCCATGTCTAGAAATGCCCTTGATATCTTAATGGATTCCTTCACAAATGCCTTTTCCTATTTCTTCCATGCGTTTCTCAGTTCCTTGGGAGTAGGGACCACATTCCGTTCTGTTGTCTGTTGCCCGCGTGCCTTGCTCAGTGCTGGAAATACAGTACGTTCGTGATACATAGTACAGTCCATCGATGACTACAAGTCAAGCATAAATGTCCCTATTTAATTAAGGAAAGAAAAGGCAAATGGGGAGGGGTGGGGGTGGGTGGTGAGATGTGTTAAAAGATTAATGACTTGAAAATGTAACTAAAAAACAAGGGCTACATTTTTCTCAAATTTTAACAACTTGGTAGAGTAATATGTTCAAAAAGTTTTCTGACTCATTGGAATTTTACAGCATATCCAAGTTTGATGAGCGGTGCTGCTTTCTTTACGTCCACGATAATTCTGATGACTTTCAAATCTACTTTTCCACTGAAGAGCAGTGTAATAGGTGAGTTAGAGCTGATTTGGGTATCTGCCACCTACGGCGAATCATTTACACAGGGCCTTTGTGAGGGGGCGGGGAACACAGGCATTTGTTAAATGGCTTTTCTTGACATTGTAACGTAAAGAGACGTTTTAGCAGTTTTCTTGGGATACAGTTCACAATTCAGTCATTTCAGACATGCAATTCTATAGTTCGAAAATTAACTTCACAGAAGGCTTGATTTCAGAATAGCCTGATCTTATTTTAGAATATTTTCATCAGCCCTAAGTGAAGCTCCCTCTGACCCTTTAGCATTCAACCCCCATTTCCTCCTCCCATTCTTCCCCACCCCCCACCCCACCCCCAGCCCCTAGGTAACTGCCAATCGACTTGGGGTCTATACACTTGCTTATCCTGGACATTTCACTCATAGAACTAGGACTGTACCATATGTGGTCCTTGGTGCCAGGCTGATTAGTGTAGTATTGTCCAGCTTTCGTCACGTTGCAGCACGTGTCAGCACTTCATTCCGCTTCACGGCTTATGACTCCGTGGGGTATGGATAGATCACATTTCAATTGGTCAGTTCATCACCTGAGGGGCAGGCGTTGGTTTCATTGTTTGGTATTCAGAAGACTGCTGCTGTGGACAAGCTTTGGCGTGTGTGCTGCATACGCTTTCCTTTCACTTTGCGTACAATTGTAAGATTCGATGGCAACTATCTAACCTTTTATGTGAAACATTTTTCCTATTTGACCTTTTTTTTTTACCATCAACACTTGTTACTCTCTTCCAAATGATAGACATTGTCCTACAGCAGTGGTTCCCAACCTTCCTCGTGCCGCCACGACCCTTTCATACGGTTGCTCATGTTGTGGTGACCCCCAGCCATAACATGATTTTCGTTGCTACTTCATCACTCATTTTGCTACTGTCATGAATCGTCATGTAAATGTCTGATAGGCAGGATGTATTTTCTATGTTACAAAGTGAACATAATTAAAACAGTGATGAATCACAAAAATACATAATTCTATATTGTGGAATGTTTATTTCTAATGACAAATAAATGAAATTTTATCTTGAAGCACAGTGTAGCACAGTTAATGGTCTTTATGCCAGGTACTTGTATGAAGGTGTATCTGCATGTGGGTGGACCTGCCTGGAGATGAATAGAGGGGTGGTCTTAGGCCACCCCTGTGAAAGGGTCGTTCGACCCAGGTTGAGAACCACTGTCCTACAGACTTGCTATGAATTGGAATCTACTGGATGGTTTGGTTTCGGTTTTGAATAGCTAATGAGCTGGGACCAGTCCCCGATGAAAAGGCGTCATGCTTACTGTATATAGTCGTGTATAAGCCGAGTTTTTCAGCACATTTTTAATGCTGTTTTTGTGGCAAAAGTAGGTGCCTCGGCTGATATTCGGGTCAGTTTAATACTTGAGTATATACAGTAACGGAAGAGAGAGGAAGACTCTCCCTCAACAAGTTGTAGTGACACATAGGCTAGAATAATGGGCTCAGACCTAGCCACGATTGTGAGGATGCCACAAGATCCGGCAGTGTTTCATTGTGTTGCACGTAGGTCAATTTGAGTAGGAACCAACTCTTCACAACCACAGTGGCTAATGATACGTAGCATCTTTTCAGGTGGACATTGTTGACTATTGGTATAGATCCTTTGGAGCAGTGTGTGTTTAGATCCTTTACCCAGTGGCTGAACAAAACTGTAAACTCCTTTTTGAAAAATAATTAGGACCACAGGACAGTTCTAAATAGCAGTACAATTTCTCTACCATATTTTCTTATTCTCTCACTCCGTGTGATGATTTTTTTTCCTGGAGTAGCTTATAGATTGGCAATGCTCCGTTACTCCAAAACAACGTGTTTTGTCTCCCTAAAAACAGACATCCACAGGCTTGTGTGCTGCTTCTGTGTGGACTTAGCTGACACCTTACTTAGATGGCTGCCTGTCTTAAGACAAGCCTTTAAGACCCCAGAAACTACTCTTTCTGATAGCCAGGCACCACACCATCTGCTTCCTTCACCACACATTGCTATAGCACCCATATCATCAGTGATCACTTCATGGGGGCAGGCATTGAACTGGGTCATGTCATAAGAATGAATTGTTCTTAGACTAGGGCTACAATTGATTTTGAGCTCAATCCGTTCATATGTCTATAGTTTATATAACATATGCACATACATATCAGGTTCACTTTAAAGATATTTTAACTTTTCAGCATTTTTTATATGTTTGTTAGTTGCCTTCATGTCTTCTGTGGTGAGCTGTCTGTTTGTGTCCTCTATCCACTTTTTAACTGAGTAATTAATCTTTGTCTTACTGAGATGTTGAGGGTTTCTAAAGATTTTAGATATTTGTCCCTTGTCTGATATGTTATTGCCCAAATTTCTTTCCAGTCTGCATTCTCTTGATGCACAGAAGAGTCTTCCTTTTGGAGGCCCCACTCCATGATTTTTGTCATCAGTGTGTTTTCCATTATGATGGATAGTGAGTTTGTGCCTCAGGTTGGGACCCCCAAATTTGTCCCCGTTTCTCACTGGTGAGCTTCATAGTCTTAGGGTTTACATTAGGTCTCTGATCCATCTTGAGTTTGTTTTTATATATGGAGTGAGATATGGGTCTTGTTTAATTCTTCTGTAAATAGAAATCCAGTTTTTCCAACAGCATTTGCTGAAGAGAGACGATCACGTCTCCATTGAATGTCTTTTAGCCATTTATTCAAAATTTGTTTTCTATAGGTAGATGGATTTATTAGCTACAGAGATGACTTGAGGTATTCTTTTCTGATGAGGGTGCTTTATTGCTTGGTTAATTGCTCTGGCTAGAGCAGCGGTTCTCAACCTGTGGGTCGCGACCTCTTTGGGGGCCGAACGACCTTTTCACAGGGGTTGCCCGATTCATCACAGTAGCAAAATGACAGTGATAAAGTAGCAACAAAAATAATTGTATGGTTGGGGGGTCACCACCACATGAGGAACTGTATTAAAGGGTCACGGCACTAGGCAGGTTGAGAACCACTAGGCTAGAGCCTCTATAATAATGTTCAAGAGAATTGCAAAGAGCAAATATTCTTGTCTTATTCTTGATCTTAGGGGGGAAAAAAAACCCAGAAACCTTAAGCCATTTACCATTAAGTGTGATGCTTTATGTAGAATTAGCATTGATTCCTAATTTGGTGAGGGTTGTATTTAAGAGTACAGTGAACCCTCGTTTATCGCGGTTAATCGGTTCTAGACCCTACCGTGATAAATGAAATTCCGCGAAGTAGGATTCCTTATTTGTAAATCAAATATTTTCGTAGTTAGAGCATAGAGGACATGAAAAAACACCCTTTAGTCACCATTACACTCGTATAACCCAATTTATTAAACGAAAAAGGCAAAATACAGTAAAACATTTTGGACGTTACAATGATCATTTATTATTTATTATATTATTTATGGCATCAAGCGTGTACAGTATGAGCCAATCAGTGGCAGTAATGACAGAGCATGCGCTGTGACGCAAAAACCGCGATAGAGTGAAGCCGCGGAAGTCGAAGCGCGAAGTGGCGAGGGTTCACTGTATTTTAATTCAGAACATGTCAGATCCACATAATCACAATGTACTTAGAGATCACACTAAATACCAGACTGAGAGCTCTGGGGTCACAACCTTCCACTGCTGTGGTGGAACAAGAGTGGCGATCCATCACAGCATCTTTGCGGTGCTCGCTGTTCTAGGTTTTGCTCTTTGGTCAAAGAGATGATAACCAACATGGTGGGCACTACGATGGAGCTGGAAGGAGAGGCTGATGGAGACACCTTAGAGGTGAGTCGTGGAAGCCTTGTTCTACTTTGTAACCCACTGAGTAAGCAGCAAAGACAAGGCTTGTCGGCCTCTTCTCGGGGAAATTCTTTATAGATGTGCATTTTAAAAACCCTCCTGTGAGCCATCGACTTCCATGGCTTGCCAGAGATCAAGTTTCATGTGTGTTTGTAGAAGAACCTCATTACTTTGAGATATTTTCCGCCAGAAATCATACGGACCATTTGCCCATCAACTAAGCTTAATTATTTTATGAAAAACATCCACTAGGGTGCTCAATACCTAATGAAAAAATAATTACCCCACTGGAAGCAGATGTTTCATTTATACCTTACATAGCTTTAGTTCTGTCTTCCAGCATATGAAATATTACAATCTGAAAAAAAAATATTTTTTAAGTAGGGTGTTTGTAAGCTATTTTTGGACCACACACCTCCCACCCAAAGTTACTCCCCCAGTCTGCAAACTTACTGCCACCAAGCTGATTCTGACCCGGGATGACTATAGGGCAGAGTCAAAGTGCCCTTATTGGGTTTCCAAGACTGTGGTCTTTATGGAAGCCAACTGCCACAGCTCTCTCCCACCAAAGTGGCTGGTGGGTTTGAACCATGACCCATCATCACTGAGCTAAGTGTATCTATTGCCTAATTATTGAGGTTGGTCGCTAAGCCAGCTTCTCCTGGCTGGCTATAGCCTAGTGAGGTTTTGCTCCACTTTTAAGTTAGACTGGGATATAAATTCCTTGAGGTTTCTTCCTGAAAAGATCAGATTCCTTTTGCTCACTGAGTCTTCATTTGGAGTCAAGGCTGGACGTACCACTGAGCTGAGTGGTACACTTGGGGGGTAACAGTGGGGGGTGGGGCATGTCAGAGCGAAGTGGGTGATTAAAGCCTTGTTTGGAGTGGGCTGCTTTCTAGTGTCAGCAGACAGTGATAGGGACTTGGAAATAATTTGAATCGCCATGAATATCCCTCGAAGTCCATGGGACCCCTGATCTTTCTCTCTCTCGCGCGCACACACACACACTTGTTTGTCTAAGCTGCGTTTCTGAAGTAGTTATTGATGGCTGTCTTCCTGCTGTATATTAAGCGTCATGCTGTCTGAAGTTCATTTGGAATCATCAAGCTTGCGCAGCTGGGCGGGGCCACGTGAGGCAAGAGGGTGCAGGGAGGCGGGCCGCCAAATCGCTGTGCGTTGAAATTTTGTGGCGAGCCAGATTGAGCGAAAGGAGGAGTACTTCCAGTGTACAGGCTTTGTGATGAGACCCCTTGTTCATTTGCTTGCCCTTTGATCCCGGGCTAGAGAGACAGGGGGTTCTTTGCTGACACTTGTGGGAACTCTTTAACTGGAGCCTGACAGCGGGAGACGCTCAAAAAAGGTGAGCTGGCTGAGGGAGCTGCGGGGGGAGGCAGCAGGGTTCATCTTGGTGCCTTGGTGTCATGGAGTCCATGTGACGCATTGCTGATAACTAAGCCTTCCTACCCCTCGGAAAGAACGATTGGATGGCAAGCATGGGGCCCGAGGAAGTTGACGGCCTTGTACTGGTTGGGCTCGTGCTTGGAGGGGGGTTCTCCAGCACCCATTGTAAGTGTCTTTTGTCCTGTCTCCCCCCACCTCCCCCCTTGAAGTATGAGTATGACCACGATGCCAAAGGAGACAGAGTTGTATTGGGGAAGGGCACCTACGGTGTCGTGTATGCCGGAAGAGATTTGAGCAATCAAGTGCGAATCGCCATCAAAGAAATCCCCGAGAGAGACAGCAGGCAAGTCAGGGGGGGCCATCTTGCCTTCTACAGCGACCTTTTTCTTACCCACTGTCCCGGGTCCACCACCAGTAGTCTGGACAGCATAAGACTGAAAGAAGGACATCATCCCAAAACTTCTAATTTTCTTGCACTAATTGGATCAAGAAAATAGAAACCCCCCCACCCGTACCCCCATCCCCCTCAATTAAAGGCATCTGGAGCTCAGAGGGTCATATTTGAAGTCATCTTGGGCCCCCAGTGGCCCTGCAGGGCTGGCATGCTGGTGTCCATTTCATAGACGGAGTCAAAGGCAGAGTGGTTTCCAAACAGTTGAGCTGGTCCCTAGTGGGGGGTAGGGGTGGGAGGGTATCACTGACTCTCCCCTCTCGAACAGGTACTCACAGCCCCTGCACGAGGAGATCGCCCTGCACAAGTACCTCAAGCACCGCAATATTGTGCAGTACCTCGGCTCCGTCTCGGAGAACGGCTACATTAAGATCTTTATGGAGCAAGTGCCCGGAGGTCAGTCATGGCAGGGCCTTGAGCCTGACAGGCTAGACCGCACGTTTGGAAATGGAATAGCAACAGATTTGTCTGCCCTGCTGCACTCCACCCCCACCCCTACCCCCACCCCATATCCCCAAGCATTTGTCTTTAAACCGAGCTGGAGGCACATTTTTTTTTGCACGTTTCTGCTTGGGGCTTTTCATTCGAATAGTGACCCTTCTGTCTCCTGAAGGCCGGACCTTGACTCCAGGAGAGTCTCTGTCTTTTGTCATTGCCTTTGTCCTCCCACTGTTTGGGAAGCCCCCTGGTATGATGAGCGGGAGCCCTGGGGGCGCTGTCTGGCGGCTAACTGCAAGGTGGGTGGTGGCTTTGAGGGTGGGGGGTTGTCCGTTGAGCCTGGATCTGCTCTTGGAAAGATGTGCAACCTGGGAGGCCCAAACGTGGGTCGCTGTGTGAGTGGGTGTCTCTTCCGAGACGGTGGGTCCAGCTGAGGAAAGCTTGGTCTCTGACCTTGAGGCTTTCACCCCACCCCCCAGGAGTCTGTAGGTGGCATGACGGAGGATGGGGTGGGGGATGAGGCACAGCATCTCTCAAAATGGGCATTGCAGGCCAAATAGTGGTGGCCAACTGAAACAAACTCCCCCAGTACCGGAGTTGAAGGTTTCTCAGAGCTGGGAGCTCTGTGCCCTTGGACCAAAAAGGGAGGGTAGAACGAGGTCCTATCCTGATCACAGGGCCTGCCAGAGGGCCAGCGCTCAAGTGCTCGTTGCAAGAATAGTCACCATAATTACTATTGAATATCGTAAGGACGGACCCACAGCCATGAGTCCATTCTGACTCGTGGCGACTGTGGAGAGGGTTTCGGACATGTATCTGCAAGGTAGCAAACGGTTCCCTTTAACTCACCCCAGCAAGCAGTCCAATGCCTAACCCAGAGCACCCCCAGGTCTCCTTCACAATTCAACTCACCATTCTTCTGACTGTTATTGGAATACAAGCATAAATTCATCAGCTAAGCATCTGAGGTGTTCCTCCCGTGACTCAGCCAACTCTTGCCAAGAGTGTGCCAGCAGGGGAGGGAGATTTTGAGGATTTACACCAAGGCTCCAGAAAGTTCCATTTCTGCCCTCTTTGCTCTTGGCAACGTGTAAGTGGCGGTTCGTGGATATTCCTGGTGTGAGGAAAACGGGGCTTGCAGCCCCGGTGCCATTAATTGGCTCCTGTTCCACAGCGTGTGGCCCTTGCTCCGGACCGAATTGGATTGAAAGGTGTTGTCAGTCTATAGCAGTCGCTGTAATCCCATTGGGGAATAGGGTTTTCTTTACGATGTTCACGAGGCCAAGCATGAGATCACCACGGGGCCAGAGGAGTAGAAGCTGACAGCAGGCAGAGACCAGAGCCTGCCTCGAGAGCTGGCCTCTTCTGCAAGGCCGTCCTCGCGGGGTGGGTCTGGTACCACAGCACCAGGTACCGGAAACACCGTGAACTGGTGACTGGCCCATTGCCAGCCTGATAATGAGTGGTCTGTTGTGTCCATTGCTAGGCAGCCTTTCAGTTCTTTTGCAATCAAAATGGGGGCCAATGAAGGAGCCCACGATCAAGTTTTACACCAAGCAGATCCTGGAAGGCCTTAAGTATCTCCACGAAAACCAAATCGTACACAGAGACATAAAGGTAGTTTGCTTTTTTTAAAAAAATTTTAATCGTTTTCTTGGGAGCTCTGACCGCTCTTATCACAATCCATATATACATCCATTGTGTCAAGCATGTTTGTACATATCTTGCCATCATCATTTTCAAAACATTTCTTTCTACTTGGGGCCTTGATATCAGCTCCTCATTTTCCCCCCTCCCTCCCCCACTCTCCCTTCCTCACGAATCCTTGATAACTTATTTTTTAAAATTCCCCATGTCTTACACTGACCGCTGTCTCCCTTCACCCACTTTTCTGTTGTCCACCCCCCTAGGAAGGGGTTATATGTAGATTCTTGTAATTGGTTCCCCCTTTCTCCACCCACCTTCCCTCCACTCTCCTGGTTTCTCTGTTTTTATGATTGGTCCTGAGGGGTTTTTCTGTCCTGGATTCCCTGTGTTTCCAACTCTTATCTGTATCCATGTACATGCTCTGGTCTGGGTGGATTTGTAAAGTGGAATTGGGATGATGATAGTGGAGGGGTGGGGAGGAAGCATTGAAGAACTAAAGGAAAGTTGTATGTTTCATCGGTGCTATACTGCACCCTGATTGGCTTGTCGGTGGTGGCTTTTCTAAGCCAGGACCTTTCCTGTGGGGCTGTACCCAATGATGACAGCTGTCCATCGTACCTGCTGCTTGACTGCCTTCCAGAAGGAAAGTGTGATGTTGCATGACACGCACCAGTGGGGAAGTTGAGCCGTCCTTGAACCGTGACCCCTTTCTTGCCGTCCAAATCTGTTATGCGTTCGTTTGTTTCCTTGTTCAAGTGCTTCGTGGTGTTCTTTTTCTAAAGGGTGATAACGTCCTGGTCAATACCTACAGTGGAGTGGTGAAAATTTCGGATTTTGGAACTTCGAAGCGTCTGGCAGGTGTGAACCCAAGCACGGAAACTTTTGCTGGTAGGTGGACCAAGTGTGGCATGGGGCGGCCTTCTCGGGGTCAGGCTTTCAGCACAAGGTCTTAGTGCAGAACGAGTCATCAATACCCAAGGTGGACCCTGCTCTGTCCCCCAAGTCAAACTGTTTTCACTTTGCCACCATGCCACAGCTAGCCAATGGCTTGTTTAGGTACGCTGTGTCACTGGGGCTCCAAGCCAGCTGCTTGTGACAACAAGGATTACCTTTTCATTGTGGCTTTCCAGAGCCGGGCTTGTGCTACATACCAGTGCGTTCCAAAATTATTAGTCTGTCCTGACAACAGCATATCCAAACACAGAAGACCAAGATTTAGTGAATTTTGGTCCCTTGTGTTTGGAAATAATTGTGTTTTCCTGAGAAGGCGAATTGTTTGGGGGGTTGTGACAGTCTCATAGGGCTCGAGGACAGACATGGATGTTCTGTTCTGCGTGTCAGAGACCGAAAGAAGAAAGGGTGGGAAGGACTGGGTTTTAAGAGTGGCATAAAATGACCAGCTAGCATTGCACTTCCAAGACCAAGTGGGCCAAATAACATTCAAACCACGGAAGTGAATGCTTCGAAACAACGGTAGCAAACATGTTAATCCCCACAAAGAAATCCCGAGACTAAATCAAGGAAGGCAGCAGTTGGGAAAGCCGAGGCTTTGTATTCCCGCGGAGATTTCCAGCCTTGGAAACACGGGGGTGGGGGGGGCAGTGCTGCGCGGTCTCTTGGAGCAGAATCAACTCCATGGCAGTAAGTGAGTGAAGGGTTAGGAAGTTGTCACAAGTAGGTTTGTGATCGGCTGGCACTCTATAGGTTGATCATTTGTAGCCCCTCAGAGATGCCGTCAGGGAAGGACCTGACAAATCGACCCAGACCCGCTGGAGCTATTCCGCACTCTACCGCAGGGTGTCCCCACGAGTCGGCACGAACTAGAGGGCAAGAAGCCTGATGACAGTGTCTCCTTTTCCTCCAAAGAGTCCCCTGGGAGCTGTGGTGGCTTCCATGGTAGAATTCCCGCCGCCCTTGCCAGGAGACCCGGGTTTGGTTCGTAGCCAGTGCCTGCAGATCCTGTTTGCCAGTGTGGGGGGTGGGGTGCGGGTGCCGCAGGGCCTGGTGGCATTTTGTTTTGTCACACATAAGCCAGCCTGAGTCGAGGCCAACCCAACAGATGGTAACGCAGGAGTAGGCATACGGATCACCAGAGCCTGGCCCGCTGGGATGACGAAGCAGCTTCTCTACCATTCTAGCTGGGCGAGCAGTTCTCGAAAACAGATGCCTCCCAGCTCTCCTGGGGGTGGCCCGAGTTCTGGCCCCGATTCTTGGTGAAAAATGACTCCGTGTTTCAAGAGGGTTGTTATTTTTCAGCCACTGGGTGCCCACCACACAGCATCCTTTATCTAAAGGGAATTTGTCTGTGTTGAAAATGATCTGTCAGCAGAGGAGGCACAAGCCTCTCACAATGGGGAAAATACTGCAGCAAGGATTCCGTCAGATGCTCCCAGGGAAAGAGTGTTGTGAGGTCTTTATTCTCTCTTTGGGGTTGATGCGCACAAGCACACACACGTACACCTGCTAGTATGAATATATGCGTGTACACGTGTGACTGGCGGGTTTTTCTTTCTAAGCACTTGCCCTCCCTACTGGAAAAGCAGTGGTAGCTTTCTCTTTGCATGCCACCAATTAACTTTGCGATATGTAGCAAGCAGGGACTCTGATAGGACAAGGACTTCTTTCCAGACATAACCCCCCAGCAGTTTATCTCATCCTTAGCGTGTAGCAATCATTGTTCCATATCCCTCCCCCATGCTATCAGCTAGAGGAGCCATGGGCTTTGAATTGCAAAATAAGGCAGGGGCACTTGAGGGGGATGGTTCTGAAAGAAAGGAGCCTCGCTTTGGTTAGAAAAGTCCCCTGCACCCAATGACTCCCAGCTACACACACTGCATCCAGCAGGAGGTCCCAGCTGCTTGGTGCCAACCACCCTTCGAGTGGGTGTGGTGGGGCTTGCAGAGAGGTGGAGGCTTGGGGTAACTTCTTGGCCACCCCACACCTTTGTTCTCAATCACCTGCTAAAACAACCGGGTGGGGCTAGCTCTTACTGGACCACACTTTAGAGGCACAGCTTCCACCAAGTCAACGCCAACTCTGGCATCCTTGGGCAGCACAGAAGCAAATGGCGTCCGTTTTGGCTCCTGGTCTCAGAATCGCCACCTGTTGTGGTTTTCACTGTGGCAGTGGTGCTGCCCGCCTGTCTCACTGAGGACCTTCTGCTTCATCCAATGCAGTGTCCTCTGAGCCTTCCTGGTGACGTGTCCAGTGTATGCGGGGTCGGATAACAGTCTGTTAACGAGCTATTGGTTTTCATGGGTGGATTTTCTGAAGGTAAATCACACATCCTTTCTTAGTTGGAACCTGTCTCCCGAGGGTCACCCAGGGGAGACTTATAATACTGGAGGCCACTTTTGAGCCGGACAGGGACTCACAAGCCACCACAATCCAACAACCAGATGGCTTGCTGAGAGCTACTGTCTCCAGAGCGTCAAAAGCACCCATTTAGCGCATACACTTCAGTGGTGTGGGGTAGAAGGACTGAACTGTGTTAGCATCTCCTCAATATGGTTTCTCAGCATGTCCGCCACCCCAGAGTGATCTCAGTGCCCCTCACCCGGTGTCCCTATTCCCACGGCTGACAACCATTGGCCACATCTCACAAAAAACTGTCACAGCATGCGGTCTTCTGTGTAGTGTCTTTTATTCGGCACGATGTTTTTGAAGGTGGTCCATCTTCCTCCAAGTATCGTTGGTAGGAGTGCTTGGCTGCTAACAGATCAAAGTTGCAGGTTCCAGTCCACCCATGGGTGTCTTGGAAGAAAAGTCTGGCAATCTGCTTCTACAAAGTGAACCATTGGAAAAGCCCATGGAGCTGGTTGGCTGGTATGGGTAGCCAGCATGATCCCAGTTGTGGTTGAAGAGAATCCAGTAGCGCAGGCTTCTAACTTTTTGCTTTGCCCAAGTACCAATTGATGGACATTGGGTTAAGTTCTATAATTTGGCTATTGTGAATAATGCTGCTATGAACATTGTCATGTAAGCCTTTGAGTGGATGGCTGTTTTTGCCTCCTCTTCGGAGTGGAATCGCTGCAGTTTGCCTTTATATGCAGACTGCGCTCATTGAGGAGCTCTTATGGTGGAATGGTTATGCGTTGGGCCGCTAACTGCAGGGTCAGGAGTTTGAAACCACCAGCCACTCCTTAGGAGAAAAAACGAGGCTTTCTAGTTCTGTTTCCAGAAATAATTAGGCTCAGAAACGGGTCAGCAATTCTGTCCTGTTCTGCAGGGCTGCTATGAGTTGGAATGAACTCGGTGGCAGTGGCTTTGGTTTGGGTTGACTTGGGGCTGGGACATGGCTGTGGCTCATGCCTTATAAACATCCTTGTTCAAATCCCGGTTCAATCACTTGCTAGTGACTCGGGGCACATTTCTTAACCTCATAGCCATAGACATATTTGTCCCTTGTTTTCTTCAGCATAAAATAAGCTGGCCCTTGCATTCCCCTGTAGGGCTTGTATGAGGAATAAATGAGTCTATATTGCTGAATAACTTAGATAGGTATCAGGTGCAGCTGAAGGGCTGGTGAATGAAATCAAAGAAAGGCTACTTTTGCCCTTAAAAGGGGAATACATGTTCTTAGTGCAGGAAAGGGCCTTTCAGGTGATGGTGTTTATGTGCATCACTCCACCACCTGTTGGTCAGTCTGTTGTGCCATGATGGCTTACCAGGGGCTAGGAGTTCTGCCACTGGCATATCCAATACCAGCAGAGTCAGCCTTGGTGGATCTTTATCCACAGAGCTTCCAGGCGAAGACTCGGAAATTTGCCAAAAAATTAGTGGAGACTGGTGGAGACCTAGTCGATCCCAATGGAAGATGGTCTGAGAGAGGCCTGGAAGCGGACCCACCTAGCTTGGAAGGTGTTCAGAATACACTGACCACAACGGGACTGGAGCAGACTAGAAGGATGGCGCACAGGCTTGGGCCATGGTTCATTCTGTGCATGGGGTCACCTGAGTCAGAGCCAACTCAAAGGCAACAGAGAACCATGCCATGCGTGTAACACGTTGAACCTGTCGGACCCCAAGAATAAAATTCCAGCAAAGCCCCTTTTTAAATCCTGCGCACTGCCACCATCCTTGCCCAGGACTTCCCCAAATCTTGCCACCGCTTCTGTACTCCTCTGTGGCAAGAGGGAGAAGAAAGCATGAAAAGGTAGTGACTTCTTTCCTATCAGTTGTGTGTGATTTCTTAAAAAAAATCATTTTATTGGGGGATCGTACAGCGCTTATCACAATCCACCCGTCAATCCATAGTGTCAAGCACATTTGTACATTTCTTGCCCTCATTCTCAAAACACTTGCTTTCTACTTGAGCGCTTGGTATCGGCTCATCATTTTCCTCCTACCTCCTAGCTCCCCCACGAACCCTTGATAATTTATAACTTATTATTTTTTTGTCATGTCTTACACTATGTGATGTCTCCCTTCACCCACTTTCTGTTGTCCATCCCCCGGGGAGGAGGTTATGTGTAGATCCTTATAATCGGTTCTCCCTTTCTACCTCCACCTTCCCTCCACCCTCCTGGTATCGCCACTCTCACCACTGGTCCTGAGTTCATCTGTCCTGGATTCCCTGTGTTTCCAGTTCCTATCTGTACCAGTGTACATCCTCTGGTCTAGCCAGATTTGTAAGGTAGAATTGGGATCATGATAGTGGGGGGTGGGGGGGGAAGCATTTAGGAACTAGAGGAAAGCTGTATGTTTCTTTGTTGTTACACTGCACCCTGACTGGCTCGTCTCCTCCCTGAGACCCTTCTGTAAGGGTGTGTCCAGTTGCCCACAAATGGGCTTTGGATCCCCAATCTGAACTCCCCCTCATTCACAGTGATATGATTTTTTTGTTCTCTGATGCTTGATACCTGATCCTTTCGACACCTCGTGATCGC